TCCATATATATATAAGCACAGCAAATGAGCAGATCCCAGATTCAGAAGATCCCCATTGAATTTGAATAGGGTTCTAGTAAGATGTCTATAGGAATGGGGCAGAGCAGATCCCAGGTCCAGAGATTCCGATTGGATTTGAATTGGGTTCCATCGGATTGCAACAGGCACGGAGCAGATCCCAGATCCAAGAAATCCCCATCGAAATTGAACCAGATTCTGCTCGGGCTTCAAAAGGAAAAGGGCAGATCCCAGATCTAGGGGATCCCATTGAATTCGGATTTGAATTGTAGCAGATCCCAGATCCAGGATATCCCTATTGAACTCGATTCGGACGTTAATCAAATTTCAGTTGGGACGGAGCATCCATATTCCAGATCCAAAAGATGCCGATTGATTTTGGATGGTGTGTTTGATTCACTGTCAATCGAAACAGAACAGATCCCATTTCCAGAAGATCCCGAGTACATTTGAATAAGATTCAAATGAAGTTCAGGAGGAACGGAGCAGATTCCAGACCCAGAGGTTTCTTATTGAGTGCAGGTCCATAGAGACAGCCACGAACGCCATCTTTCAGAAAACGTCGTCGTCACATTGATTCGCTTCATGTTCCTCTTCTGTAGTGCCTCATCGCTCTTCTCCCCCTCCTCCGCCTCCTCCTCCTTCTCCTCCTCCTCCTCTTCCTCCTCTTTGTCCTTCTCTTCTTCCTCCTCCGTCTTATCCTCATTTGCCTCCTCGTCCTCCGCATGACGTTTACTCATCCGTTTCCGTTCCCGCCGTTTCCTTTTTGTGTCTCTTTCTCCTCCTCCTCCTCCTCCTCTTGCTTTTCCTCCTTTCGCTGATGGTGCTGCCGCTGATGATCCTTCGTCTCATGAGGAAAAGGATTATAAGCAGGAGGGGGCGGAGGGAGCCCTATTGAATGCGAATCGGGTTCTCATATGATTTCGATAGAAACGGAGCAGGCCCCAGATCCAGAGGATTCTTGTTGAATTTGGATGGGCTTCTAAGCAAGTTCAATACAAACGGAGCAGATCCCAGATCCGAACGATTCCTGTAGAGTTTGAACAGGATTCTGTTTGGATTTCAACAGGGACGGAGCAGATCCCATACCCAAAGAATCCCCATTGAAATTGAGCCAGATCCTGAAAGAATTTGGATTTGAAGATCCCAGATTCAGAGGATTCCTGTTGAATTTGGATCGTGTTCTCATCAGATGTGAACAGAATCTAAGCAGATCCCATATTGAGTAGAAAAGAGGAGGAGGAAGAAGAAGAGGAGGGCGAGGAGGAGAAGGAGGAGGAGAAGAGCTGGAGCAAGCAGGAGCAAGGGGGCAAGGACACGCAGGGAGGCCCAGAGACTGGCAGTTGAACAACGCTGTGTTTTCCAACTCCCAGCTTTTCCCAAGGACTAGACCTTGAAAAACGCTGGCGTGATGAGCCCGGCGTTGATACCGGCTTGGCCGAGATTGTTGGATATTTGTGTATATATATATATGCATACATACACAAAAAGATGCATCTACATACATGTGAACGTATATAGATATATAGGGATAGAGAGAGATTGAAACACGATAATTTGAGGGAGTTTCTGTGGAACTCACGTCATCCTCACCCCCGGCGCGAAGAGCACGAGCCCAGAGCGGCCTCCGGCACCGTTTCCGGACAGATCCGGTGGATCCGGTGACGAATCCCAAACCGGCGCCCTCGCTTGAGACATCCTCACAAAACCGGCCCCGGGGGAGGTGCCCAGAGGAGCCCAGAGCGGCCTCCGGCACCGTTTCCGGACAGATCCGGTGGATCCGGTGATGAATCCCAAACCGGCGCCCTCGCTTGAGACATCCTCACAAAACCGGCCCCGGGGGAGGTGCCCAGAGGAGCCCAGAGCGGCCTCCGGCACCGTTTCCGGACAGATCCGGTGGATCCGCTGGATCCGCTGGATCCGGTGACGAATCCCAAACCGGCGCCCTCGCTTGAGACATCCTCACAAAACCTGCCCCGGGGGAGGTGCCCAGAGGAGCCCAGAGCGGCCTCCGGCACCGTTTCCGGACAGATCCGCTGGATCCGCTGGATCCGGTGACGAATCCCAAACCGGCGCCCTCGCTTGAGACATCCTCACTAAACCGGCCCCGGGGGAGGTGCCCAGAGGAGCCCAGAGCGGCCTCCGGCACCGTTTCCGGACAGATCCGGTGGATCCGGTGACGAATCCCAAACCGGCGCCCTCGCTTGAGACATCCTCACAAACCGGCCCCGGGGGAGGTGCCCAGAGGAGCCCAGAGCGGCCTCCGGCACCGTTTCCGGACAGAATCGCTGGAATCCGGTGACGAATCCCAAACCGGGCGGCCCTCGCTTGAGACATCCTCACAAAACCGGCCCCCGGGGTAGGTCCCAGAGGAGCCCAGAGCGGGCCCTCCGGCACCCGTTCCGGACAGATCCGGTGATCCGGTGAGGAATCCCTAACCGGCCGCCCTCGCTTGAGACATCCTCGAAAAACAGAAAATCAGATTCAAGAAAGGAATTGACGATAAATAATTTAAAGGAGACATCCTCATAAACCGGGCCCCGGGGGAGGTGCCCAGAGGAGCCCAGAGCGGCCTCCGGCCCGTTTCCGGACAGGAACAGATCCGGTGGATCGGTGACGAATCCCAAACCGGCGCCCTCGCTTGAGACATCCCCACAAACCGGGCCCCGGGGGAGGTGCCCACAGGAGCCCAGAGCGGCCTCCGGCACCGTTTCCGGACGGATCCGGACGGATCCGCTGGATCCGGGGACGAATCCCAAACCGGCGCCCTCGCGTGAGACATCCGCGCAAAACCGGCCCCGGGGGAGGTGCCCAGAGGAGCCCAGAGCGGCCTCCGGCACCGTTTCCGGACAGATCCGCTGGATACGGTGGATCCGCCGACGAATCCCAAACCGGCGCCCTCGCTTGAGACATCCTCACAAAACCGGCCCCGGGGGAGGTGCCCAGAGGAGCCCAGAGCGGCCTCCGGCACTGTTTCCGGACAGATCCGGTGGATCTGGTGACGAATCCCAAACCGGCGCCCTCGCTTGAGACATCCTCACAAAACCGGCCCCGGGGGAGGTGCCCAGAGGAGCCCAGAGCGGCCTCCGGCTCCGTTTCCGGACAGATCCGCTGGATCCGGTGGATCCGCCGACGAATCCCAAACCGGCGCCCTCGCTTGAGACATCCTCACAAAACCAGCCCCGGGGGAGGTGCCCAGAGGAGCCCAGAGCGGCCTCCGGCACCGTTTCCGGACAGATCCGGTGGATCCGCCGACGAATCCCAAACCGGCGCCCTCGCTTGAGACATCCACACAAAACCGGCCCCGGGGGAGGTGCCCAGAGGAGCCCAGAGCGGCCTCCGGCACCGTTTCCGGACAGATCCGCTGGATCCGCTGGATCCGCTGGATCCGGTGACGAATCCCAACCCGGCGCCCTCGCTTGAGACATCCTCACAAAACCGGCCCCGGGGGGAGGTGCCCAGAGGAGCCCAGAGCGGCCTCCGGCACCGTTTCCGGACAGATACGGTGGATCCGGTGGAGGATCCGCCGACGAATCCCAAACCGGCGCCCTCGCTTGAGACATATCCTCACAAAACCGGCCCCCCGGGGGAGGTTCCCAGAGGAGCCCAGAGCGGCCTCCGGCACCGTTTCCGGACAGATCCGCTGGATCCGGTGGATCCGCCGACGAATCCCAAACCGGCGCCCTCGCTTGAGACATCCTCACAAAACCGGCCCCGGGGGAGGTGCCCAGTGGAGCGCCTCCGGCACCGTTTCCGGACAGATCCGCTGGATCCGGTGGATCCGCCGACGAATCCCAAACCGGCGCCCTCGCTTGAGACATCCTCACAAAACCGGCCCCGGGGGAGGTGCCCAGAGGAGCCCAGAGCGGCCTCCGGCACCGGTTCCGGAAAGATCCGCTGGATCCGGTGGATCCGCCGACGAATCCCAAACCGGCGCCCTCGCTTGAGACATCCTCGCAAAACCGGCCCCGGGGGATGTGCCCAGAGGAGCCCAGAGCGGCCTCCGGCACCGTTTCCGGACAGATCCGGACAGATCCGGTGGATCCGCGCCCCGGGGGAGGTGCCCAGAGGAGGAATGAGGAGGAGGAGGAGGAGGAGGAGGAGGAGGAGGAGGAGGAGAAGATGATGGAGCTGCGGGGCGGAGGAGGACAGACGGAGGCAAGAGAAGGATGGAGGAGGAGGAGGAGGAGGAGGAGGAGGAGGAGGAGGAGGAACCTCATCCTCACCCTCGCCAACAAGCGCACGCACCTTCTTCTATATACAGAAACTCCCGATCAACCGCAGAGCGGCCGGCTAGTAATAATAATAATAATAATAATATGTATACATATAAACAAAGAAGCAACAAAAACATGTTCAAAAAAATGTTATATATGTTTTTTATATATATATATATACATAAAAACAAAGATGTTCGAGGATAGAAGGAGAGGGAGAGAGAGAGGGGAGGCTAAAAAACCTAGGCAACAACAAAAACGGCACAAAAAAATCAAAGTGGAGCGAAGGGGGGACAGATGGAGGGAGGAGGGTGGAGGAGGAGCGCGACGAGGCGAAAACCAGCCTCGAAGGGAGATAGGAAAAGCGGGGTGGCAAGAATGGGAGGGCCTGAGGGGGGGGGGGGGGAGGGGGTGGGGGGGGGGGTGGAGGGGGGGACGAATAGGAGCGGGGGGGGGGGTGGGGGGGGGGGGGGCGAATGGGTGGAGGGGGGGAGGAGGGAGGGCAGGGTGGGGGGGGGGCCGAATGGGTGGAGACGAATGGGTGAGAAGAGGGGTAGTGTGGAGGGAGGAGGGCGGGAAGGAGGGGGCGAATGTGCGGGGATAGGGAGCAGCAAGTCGGAGACGTCCGCGTCGTCGTCGTCGCCGTTTGCCATCGTCGTCGTCGTCGTCGTCGTCGTCGTCGTCGTCGTCGTCGTCTTCGGAGGTAGAGGTAGAGGAGGCGGAAGAGGAGGAGGCTGGCCGGCCGCCCCGGCGGCGGCGCCGGAGCTGCCGCGCGCCCAGATCGACAACGGCTTGAAGCACTTTCTGGCCCAGCACCCGGGCGAGTTCTCGGTGGACGGCGCCAAGGGCTGCGAGCACGCCGCGCGCGCAGCGGCGACCCCCACCGCTGGGAGGACGACGACGACGACGACGAGGTCGAGGCCGAGGTCGAGGTCGAGGTCGGCGATGACGAGGTCGACGACGACGACGACGACGACGACGACGACGACGACGAGGGCGAGGAGGAGGTCAGAGAAGGAAAGGATACTGATACTGCTACCCCTCCCTCGTTTTCGCCTCTTCGGGCCTCCTGGGATGCCTCGTCGCCACGGCTGGATTCCCCTCGAAATCTTGGTCAGAACGCACCCCGGGAGGGGTCTGGGGAGTGGCGATATCGGTACCTTTACGCCACGCTAGGAGGAAGGCGAGGAGGAAGAGGAGGAGGAGGAGGAGGAGGAGGAGGAGGGCGGCGACGACGACGACGACGACGACGACGACGAGGGCCGAGGAACGAAGGAGGAAGAGGAAGAGGAGGAGGAAGGCGAGGAGGAAGAGGAGGAGGAGGAGGAGGAAGGCGAGGAGGAGGAGGAGGAGGAGGGCGGCGACGACGACGACGACGACGACGACGACGAGGAGGAGTGCCGAGGAACGGAGGAGGGCGAGGCCGTGGGCCATGGTCGGGAAGAGTGGGCAGCAGGGGCGGCGCTGGTGGCGTTCGGTGCCCCCCGCTCAGGAAGAAGAAGCCATGCGGCACGTGGTATTAAAGTCATTGGCCTGACCTAAGGAACGATAAATAAGGAACGAAGCCCCTTTTTTATTCCAAGGAATAACGCATAAGGAACCATAAATAATACATAACGCATAAGGAACTGTAAATAACGCGTGTGAAATCTAAGGAACGACCGAGCCCCTTTTGAAAAGTAAGTGTCCCTTATTCAAGCCGCTCACTGTAAGTCGGACCTGTCCCTCTGCAGGAGGAGCATTCAAAAAGAGTCCAAGAATAGTCTGGGGACTATTGGGGGAGCATCTTTTGACCGTGTTGGGGGCATTTCCCTTTTATTTTTCGTCCAAAATCCCCCTGTAGGGGGACACGCCCGACCTAAACGTAGAAGCACGTCACGACTCGTCTTGCACCCGTGGCGTTCACCGTCATTTCAGGCTCCTCGGCCCAAGGCGGCACATCATTGGGGTCCCATACAGCTGGCCCACATACACTGAGACACAAGCCAATGAGGAAACAGCATGCACAGATGTCTGGAATGGCTCCGTGAACGGCGGGAAGGAAACAAACAAATCGCCCCAACACGATGTGCGACAAGAAAATTGCCAACCAACATGAATGGCAAGCACACTTTGGAACACAAATTGCACTTGTAGCAATCACCGCGCACGAAGCTTTACCGTAGAGAGTGCAGGCCGACCCGAGCATGCGAGTAGTATCGCCGAACACCGCTGGAAGCCAGTGGCTGGGCGAATGGTGGAAGATGACCCACCCGAGCCTGAAACTGCCGAGCCACACGCCACCCGCCAAAGGCGTTGAGTAGCTTCACAACAGCCGCCCGCGTCAGGCCACGCAGGGAATATGAAATCCGCCGCCTGCATAAGGAAGCGGAGGCGAAGGCCACAGCGCGGGCGAAGAAGAGCAAGGCCAGGTGAGTTGGCCGCGGCGCACCTGCTCCTCCTCCTCCTCCTCGCCCTCCTCTTCGCCCTCCTCCTCTTAAATGACCGGTGTTCGTGGTACACCTTCACAACTGCCTCACGGAGCGCAAGCTGAGGAAAGCTTGAAACACTTATTCGGGAACAGAGGAGTGCTGTGACCAAACAGGTTTGATTGAAAACGACTCCGCCCCCAGCTGCAGCTCCAGAGTTGAAGGACGCCTCAGAAATGAGGGCTTGGTTGGGCATAGCCCGCCAGGACCTCCACCTGCATAGGACCGACGCCACCCACGAAGCGTAGGAAGGAAACAATCCAAGCACATGAATGCAAAATGTCCCACTGCAGCCCCAACCTTGAATCAGGAGGGGAAAAAAACACACTCAGACACAATTAATCGTCGATCCCCAGGAAAATATTGGATGGGAAGTGGGGGGAAGATAAAAATCCAGAAAATATGTGAAAATATCGGGAATCCTGTTATTTGTGTCTATTCGTGTGTGTGTGTGTCCCAGGGCCCCTTCATTGAAGCACGCCCAAGTGTGGAGGGTGTTGCAAGGCACAGCCCACCGGGACCTCCACACGGGACGGACGCCGCCACAGGAGAACAGGAACGAGCCAAGTCCCAGCCAGCACCAACTGCTGAGCAAAAACAGCCTGACTCACCTCCCTCTCCTCCTCCTCCTCCTCCTCCTCCTCCTCCGCCTCCTCCTCCTCCCAGTCTTCTTCCTCCTCCTCCTCCTCGTCCTCCTCCTCCTCGTCCTCCTCCTCTTCCTCCTCAGCAAAAACGTGCAACGAACGTCCTCCTCCTCCTCCTCCTCCTCCTCCTCCTCCTCCTCCTCCTTCTCCTCC